TACTTTCAGATTTATATCTATAATTAATTCTCAAACATCCCTGTATCTGTAGCAGCTGCTGGTTAAACTTTTTATCTTCTGCTAATATGAGCTTTGTAATTTAATTTTTTAATGCCCCTTTAAGTAAAATTTATAATTGGTTCCCTTAGGGAATATACCATATTTTATTCTTGTATGTGTTAATTCAAATAAAGCACTCTGCCAAATGCTCACTTTTAGTGGATGCAGGGCAGGAGGAAGGTGCAGTTTAAAAAAAAAAAAAGAAAAGGAAAAGACACAATCTCTACCCTCAAATAGCTTGCTTATAATCTCCCAGAAAGAATTAAAACCAGCACCTCCAAAATAGTTCATTAACTATACATGGCACAAATAGTAAATGTTAAGAAAATGATTAAAGTAATAAGAGCTACAAGATTTCAGAGAATTAAGAGCCGTCCATGGGCCCGAAAACTCAGGAGGTGGGAACTAAATGTGGCCATGAAGGATAAGTAAGAGTTTCATTGGGCATAGAGGAAGAGGAGAGCCTCTTAGGCAGGAAATATGGCAAAAGAACTGAGGTGAGAAGCAGCAGGGAGGAACTTTCTAGGAATGGTGAAGAGTCCCTTCCACAGCTATCCTTGGGGCAACTTGTGGCAGATCTAGAACACCAGACTCAAGAGTTTACATTTTAATGACAATGGATATGAATAAAAGTTTTGAACCAAACAATAATATAGTAAATTCTAATTTGCCTCTTCTTAACAATTATATTTGTGGCCTTTATTATTTTATAAGATAACATATTTTAGGATCTGTATGGGGGGTATATGTGTGTTTGCATAGAGCTATGTGACTGTTTAGCCATTCATGGCCCTTAGACTGGTTTCTATTCAAAACTACATTTTCCTCTCCTGGATTTGCAAAGGCAGAATTTACTCATGATACATATTTTAATTGCAAGTGACCAAAAAAACCAACTTGAAGTGCTTACAGAAATAGATAAAATTTTGGGGAGAGTAATCAAATATCCCATGGAATCCAAGAAAAATCTCAGGCACAGAAAGTTTAATAATGCAGCAGGGCTTAGGTACTACCAGAGCCACCAGGGAATAGAAGACTATTTCTAGTCAATATACCTTTTTAGTCATCTTTCCATTTCTCTTCTCCTTGTGTAAACCAGTTGGTTCAATTCATGACATAAAATTGGCCACTGAAGGAGCTCTCGGGTTAATTTACATTTTACATATTTAATTACAAGAGAGATTGCCAAAACTCCCACCCTAAAATTCAAAATTTACTAAGTAAAATAAGTCAGAGAAAGGCAAATATCACATGATTCACTTATATGTGGAATCTAAAAAACAAAACAAATGAACAAACAAACAAAAAGCCAAAACAGACTTATAAATACAGAGAACAAATTGATAGGGGACAGAGGGGAAGGGAGTGTCAGATGGGCAAGATGGGTGAAGAGGAGTGGGAGGTACAGCTTTCCAGTTATGGAATACATAAGTCATAGAGACAAAAGGTACAGCATAAGGAATATAATCAATAGTATTGTAATAGCATGGTATGGTGACAGATGGTAGCTATACTTATTGTAAGCACAGCATAACATATAGACTTGACAAATACACTGTGTCCCTGAAACTAATGTAACATTGTATGTCAGCTATGCTTCAGTAAATAAATAAGTAATTCAAAAACTCAAAATTTCAGGGAAGAGGTTCAGTGGCCCAGTTTAGATAAGATTCTAACTATTGAGTCAATCAACTGTGGCACCCAAGGCCAATGTCATATTGTATAAAATGGTCATTCCCATAAACAACATGGATGCCAAGAGGATGTGTCCCTAGAAAAACTGGAGATAGGCCACACACAAAAAAAGATGTATTGTACACAGAAGTGACAATTACAATCATCTTTTACACAGAGAAAATGTATAACTTTAACTAAAAGGACACCTACTACACAGGAATGCTAAACAAAACAGAGCAAATTTAGACAATTCTGATAGCCCACCAGAGTCTCACAGACCTGCTACACTACATTTAAGGGCCTGGGTTCCATCTCTAATAGGAAGAGAACAAAGAAAACCTAGGAAATAGGACCCTGATGGAGAGGAATAAATAGCTTATGAATAAATAGCTCTGAATAAATATGGGTGTGGCCAATAGTTGCTGAAAACTAGAAAGGTCCCCTTAAAATGGCTCTAGCTACTTATTCACTGGTCAGTCTGAGCAGGTACTATAATTGCCCTTGTAATCTGCAAAATGCATATGGTAACATCAGCTATGACTACACAAGGTTTGCAGCCATTGCAGAACTGGTTCTTGTAACAGGATACATGGGAAAGAACAGTGTTGAGAATATTACAAATGGGTTTTAAGGTCTTTTCAAACTATCATTAGGATTTATCTTTAAACTGGAGTTTTGAGAAAATGTATCATCAGGAATTTGAAATGCAAAATGTTAAGTTTCTATATGTACCTATTTGCAAGTACTATGCAATCTTGCGCTAAACATTTTAGTTTACTGCAATGTGCGTTTCAAGAGAAATATAAACTCTAAAAGTAAGACCCCTCTATAAAACTTCTTTGTCTGCCAATCCTCTTCTCCCCATGCTCTACCTCATCACCTCTATCTAGCAATTATGCCTAGAATATTTCCTTGACCCAAGAATTGTTCAATTAATACTTATTGGTATACTCATGACATAAAATACTATAGAATCCTCAGATGGTTGTATGCAAGATAGATTGGGTAGTAGATAGATAAAAAGACTAAATATGGCACAATAAATTTGGCATGGCTTATTAGCCTACAGACACACTCTACAGAATGATGGCAATGGATATGAACAAAAAGAATTTTTTTCAAAATATTAGGAAAAAAGCAATTGATAGGATTTAGAAATTGGAAAATAAATAAAAATAAATTGGTAAAGGGCAATGTGAGTTTTTAAACGAGAAAAATTATGGAGTTAGATAAATCTGGAGGGGGATTTGAGAAAAGGATAAGTTTTAGGAGATAAATATTTAGATGAAAATATCTAATAATATTTTATTATTTATGGTCATAACATCTTCCAAAATAAAGCTACCTATTGAACATGCTAAGTATTGAACATAGGATTGAGTCCAGGCAAATTATCATCTGAGATGATAAAGTCATAAGGTCTTATGCTTAAAAACCTTGAAGCAAACTGTATCGATACAATACTGTCACCATCCCTTAAATTTACATATGCAAATGGCATTGGTAAAAGTTCCATGTGTAACTCATAATCTACTATAATAAACAGACCTACAGTGGGTCTAGAAGAAAGAAACTGGAATTGAAGTTCATGGTTTGGATTCTTATCTCTGCCACTAAATGACTAAGTGTTGTTGAGCAAGTCACATATCCTTGCTAGATTCATTGTCCATCTATAAAAAGAGGATGTTTGCATAGATGTTCTCTAAGTTTCCTTCCAGTTCTAAAATTCTAAGATTCCATTCTCTATCTGGACTTGTAGACTTGGCTCTTAAGTTTTGCCATTCTGTGTTTTCACTTAATAAAAGGTTGTTGATTCTGACACTTAGAGGTATTATAGAACTAGAATTCAATTCATAAGCAGAATAAACAACTCCAGTAGGGATGGTCTAGTAATTATCTTTTTGCCTACAGTAATCCAAAATGGCCATCGATGTGAGCTAGTCTGTCAGAAGTATAGTAATAGATGATTTTGCAATGTATCTTAATGTTTTACCTACAGTAGTCTATGTTGGTATGACAGTCCTATCCCCCATGAGACAAATGCCAATATCTGGAGATAGTTTTGGTTGTCACAACTGGGAAGGGGGTGCCACTAGCGTCTTGGTGGGGTAGAGGCAAGGGATTCTGCTAAAAATCCTATAACACACAGGAGAACCCCTCCCTACCTGCAATGAAAAATTATCCCCCAAAATGGCAGTAGTGTTGAGCTTGAGAAATCATTTCTCTTTTCCACCTTTCCTAAATCCATTACAAATGAGCAGAAACATCATACAATATAGCCATTTCACGGATATCCTATTCACACAGTCTTTTCACATTTCCAGTCTTGCAAGGTTGAAGGCACACAACTCTGTTTCCTTATTCTCTGAAAGGTGAAGAGGGAAATACTTAAGAAATGGGACTGCAAGATGACTTTACAGTTGTGTTTACACCCACAAACTAAGGGATTAAATTATATTTGCAAAAGAAGTTTAGTTATCATAAAACAATAGGCTTTTTTTTTTTCTCTACTGCATTTTTCACTTTTGAACAGGTTATTTTGGCAAACAGAAACTAAGACTTGTAGGGGAAGCTAATGAATTTATTCAGGAAGCACAATGTGAAATTAGTGGCAGGGTTTTAAAAAATTAACTCTTTTAGACAAAGCTTATAAAAACTGATTAACACCCTAGTAGTGACTATTGAAAAATCATGCTTTCACATCTTTTAGAAAACTGCTTTAAATTATTATGAAAGCTTACACATATTCTGAATGAACATACTACTTAAGTATTTCTGTGTTCTTTTTTGTCCTAATGTTCCATTTTCAGTTTCTTCACATTTGATTCACAATTATATTATCTGGCAAACAGAAACAGTGTGCAATAGCAAACTTCAGCTGGTGTTACGGCGATCTGTGTTACCTGGCTCCATTTGTCATTTTCTTTCTTCCCTTTTTTTGTTATTATTTATTGGCATTTTGCCTGTGGCAAGACACAGATTTTAAATGTGGACTTCATGATGTTGTGAGTCAATCTAGATAAGGTGAAGTATCTCAAGGGCAGCACAAATGATAAGTATTTCTGAATTTTAATTTTAGGGATTTTAGCATACATATGCAATGGAGGTTTATTTATTGAATTTGAAAAATTAATTCCTTACAGCCTTGAGTGTATTTTGCTTTGTCTGCCCCTGGGTTTGTACATATTGGTGTTTTTTTCCTTTTTAATATTTCAACAGGTGAGGTTAGCAAGACAGCTGATGATGCTGTTTTACACCTACAGGTCTTACGAAACCAGGACTGCATCCAGAAGCGGAAAAAACAACTTTGGGGGATGGTTTAATAATTGCCTGTGGTAGGACTTGTCTCACATTCATTAAAAAGTCTAGGTAAGGCTGCTTTCTTGATCTTCATTTCTTTTCAGTTGCCAAGCAAACAAACAAACAAAACTTCTTTCCTGAAAGCTCTTTAGTTATCTAACCTCAAATATCTCTGACTAGGGTGGAAGTTACACATCTCAAACATCTCCATGTTTAGAAGTTAGAACTTGGCAGACATTTGCTGGAATGCTTGACTAGTCTGCTTTTCTTGCTTTTGAAAGCAGTTAAAGTAGTCTAGAATTTTAACCTTTATATAATATCATCATAATAGAGTTTTCAGTCTTAAAAATACTTTTGTGTTCTTTCTTTGGTGAATAAGAAATACCACGTTGTCTAATTATCTTTGATGTAGGAAATGACTGGAGAACAATTAATATAAAGATCATGATTTTTATTATGTAGGAAATGATAAGAGAATAGTAAAGTTCTCTAGTTTATACTTACAGATATTTGAACTTACCTATCTTCTTTTCTCATTTAGTGTTATTACTAAATCTGAACTTAGTCTTGTAAAAGTGATAATATATACAAAGCCTACAGAAATGTATCTTGTATAGAAAGTAGACAGCAAGTATTCACTATTGCCTGTCAAGGAAATGCCCATAAGAATTGTTGGTAGGCGTCTAAATGTGGAGGTAAGTAATAAGCAGATATTGACTTCTGTTGAGATCAATATCAAGATTTGTTGACCCAAAGAGGTTAAAATTGACTGAAGAGTGAGACAATAAATCTTCTTATGGACTAGAAAGCAGAAGTCAATATATATATTATTATAAACATTTTTCTTTTACTGTAGATGATAGGGGTGGAGTCATTTTAAGATCTTAAATGCATATAGCCACGTGTTGTTTATACCATAGTGGTGGCCAATGTAGGCTCCTTGGCTTACTAAACATGTGTTTACTCAAATGACATCAATAACATTCCTAGATCATTGTTCAGGATGTCAACCATTCTTCTTCCTGTATTTTAGGTCCTCTTACCCTGATTAATTTCAAACTGAAACGTAGAATGCTCAAACTTGTATGAAGAAATTTTGTCCGAAAGGGGGAAAAAAGCAGAAAAGATATTTAAACTTTTTTTCTCTGAAGTGTAGAGCTCTCCAGGTCTCTGATTACTGCTTCCACTGTGTGTGTATATAAGTGCACATGTTTTGTGGACACATGCACATGTTCTAGAGACCTCCTTCCAGGTTGCCCATTGCTAAGATGACTCTGCTCTTCAAATGAGATCTTATATTTACCAGATGATTTTAAAAGCAGGTCAAGATAAAGACACTTTTTTAAAAAAGTATATTTAAAATTAAGTTTTCTGAAATGACAAAATAATGCAAATGGGGTGTTACCAGGTCATGTTTTAGTTTGTCTATTCATACCAACCATCCATTCACACATAAGCCAAATAGAGATTTTATATTACCATAGTTGAGAGAAGTGGAAATGGAAAACAATTCTCCATTGTTCCAAAGAGCTCTCACGTTGATAAGAAATCAAACTCTGTACATCCAAACTGAACAGGGCGTGCTGGGTTACTCTAAGTCTCTGTTTGATTAGGAGCTTTGCCTGAACTGAGGTCTGTACACATGGATCATGAATGCATGAAATCCTGGAGGAATATTTGGCCAGGACATTGATGTTACAGACTACTAACCCAAAATTCTTTCATGTGATATGAACCTACCCTCATCCCTCCATCTTCAGCCTCCAGGTAATAACAAAGGAAAAACTCAGAAAGTATCTTTCCTTTCTAACCACCTCCCAAAAGATGGCACTTCACAAGGAAGAGTCAAATCCATAAATGTTCCATAATCTGCAAGTTAGGGATGAAACATGAGAGATGCCTTCAATGTCTCACGCTATGGGATGCCTCCAATTCCTCAATACACCCCATTGTGCCTCATGACTGGAGAAAGCTCTGCACATCCCATTTCCTCCTTTAACTGTGAATTTCCTCGCTTCTATGGGTTTAGATTTTAATGGCTGAATTACATTTACATCTATTTGTGCATTTGCCATCAACCGCCAAGTTCCTGCCTAAAGCTTTTACCAACTTTGAGAACAAATTTCTCATAAACAACCTCATTTAGTTTATCTATATAAATTCACAGAGTTCTTAACTCCTAGGAAGGTCCAAGACACCTCACTGTACTAAATGGCAGATCTTCTTAGATGTCTATTGGTTTTACGTGCTTTACAATGAATCATAGCTCAAGACAAATCAGTAATTTGGCTGAAATGATTCCAAAACCACTGGAAATGTGGCAAAATGTTGGTTAGCCATATAAGTCTTCGAATTCGTGGTCTCTAGTAAGAAGGAAATAGTTCTATAATGAAAACACACCCAAATGGTACTGAAGAGCCATCTAATAAAATAGTTTATTGATAATACTATAGAAACACACCCAGGTTCATGCACCAAAATGTCTACATTTTTACCATAAACATCAGAAAGTACAACATGAGACAAGCATGTAGTTTGGGCATAGCTCTGGGTTACCACCCCCACAAAAAAAATTATGTTTTTAATCTGACAAACCCTGTTATACAAATTCTGTGTATCTCCATATATATGTGAATTTTTGACAAAAATTAAGAAATTCCATTTTGACTCCTTACTACTTGTGATTGCCATGATAATATTCTGTACATATAGATGAAAAAGATGACATAACCTAAACCCTTGTCTTCTTGTAGTGATAGGTTTACAGGAGCCCCTGAACTTTCTCACTTAGTCTGTTTAGCAACTTAGGTGGGGTAACAGATGGCCTTAAGTTGATGAAGGTCATAGATATTCAGGTTATGAGAACAACTTTTTTTAAGTTTTGATGCCCATTAGATGATGACTATGAATATGGCTCTGCATAACCCATTTGGTCACTAGAAATGATTCATTCAATATGCTAGCCAATATCTGTTCATACTCAGTTTTGACTACGAAATTATCTGCCATAACTGCTTCGGATGATAAAACTGTTTCATTGGTAGATGAACAATTTTTTTAACTTGGAAGCTTAGAATTAATTACAGATATATTTAAGAGAATCAAAGACATAGTGTTAATATTTATGTCTTAAGGAAGCATGATTAACTTTTCAGTATTTATAATGTTTAAGATATTTTAGTTTATTAGAGAACAGGTAAAATTTGTGATTCACCTTAAAATGTGTAATTAAGCAATTGATTTGGGCCTGTGAATTTAAGTAGAAATTTAATTTAGTTTATACAGTAATTACAGTAAGTATACGAAGTTAAGTATTGAAATTTAAGAGAACTTGAGGTTCATAATATTTCTAGGTTTAATTTATTAGAGCCATTAGAGGTATTTTAAGTATTCTGGAAAGTTTGTTTTTAATCACACAGTTGAAGTATCTAAATAAGAAGTCACATATATTTAATTTATAAATTTAGTTTAAAACGTTTGAAGGAGTTTAATTACCTTAGTTTGTACATGGGTCTAAACATTAATCAAAGGCTTCATAAAAGTGATTGCTAAATTTGCTAGACTTACAGATACAAGATTATGGAAGAGCTAAGTTTTCAAATTTTTACAACTAATAATTCAAATATATTTTTAACTAAACTCAACCTTTGAATAATCTTTCCTGAACACAAAATCTGCCCTTGAAATTATTGTCATTCATAAGGGAAAACAGGCATGTAAGAAGCAAAACACTGACATTGACAAAGGTGTCATGTAAGATAAAGAAGTATTAAATTATTGTACTAGTAAAGACCTCCTACAACTACTGTCCTACCGCAAATGTCTTCAAATACTCTCAACTTCTGGCAAGTTTGATAGTATTAGTACTGAGAACCAGAACAGAGCAGTGGTCACAAACTCAGGCCCTGGGGTCAGACCCATGTGGTTTGTCCCCATGTTGTGCTATGGACTAGCTATGAGATTGTGGGTGAGTGCTGAACTTTTTAAGATGCATTTTCCTTATTTGAAAACTGGAGGTATCAATAGTACACTGTCATAAATTATTGAGAGACTTGAATGAGATAATGCTTACAAGTACTCAGCAGAGTACGTGGCATCAAGATAAATGCTATATCAATGTTAATTAGTGCTAAGAAGAGGAGGAATCTTTTCCATCAGGAACTACTCTCAGCTTGGTTTTTAAACAGAGACCCTTAGAAATAAGACATGGTAATTGCAAATCCAGTGAAATCCTTTCTAGAAAGTTATTCACCTGGTAGTAGATAGAGAGAGGAAAGAACAGTTTTTTGTTTTTTGTTTTTTTTTCTGGTGAATAGAAACCACAACAATCAAGAATTAGGAAGGATATTATTTGTCAACAATAAGCAACTCTTATTTGTCTTCTGATAAAAACACTTACCTATTCACTCGCAAAGGAATTATAGTTTATGCACCCAACAAGTTTATGACCTATTTAGTTTAGCCCCTGCCTAAGTGTACTATTATAAAGTGAAGCAAGAAAAAGATCATATCAGAACTCAAAACTGTACATTTAAAAATATTTAATGCTGAACTTTTTATAATTATAGGGAAAAAATGGGAACCAACCTACATTTATAATAATAACTAATTTATTAAATAAAAGATAATATATCTATAAATGGATATGCTATTCAGCCATTAAGATTAATTATGGAGGAGTGCCTGGGTGGCTCAGTCAGTTGAGCATCCAACTTCATCTCAGGTTGTGATCTAGAGGTTCACAAGTTCAGGCCCCACATTTGGGGTCCATCCTGACAGCTCGGAGCCTAGAGCCTGCTTCAGATTCTGTGTCTCCTTCTCTCTCTGTCCTTCCCCTGCTTGTGTTCTCTCTCTCTGTCTCTCTCTCTCTCTCTCTCTTTCCTCCTCAAAAATAAAACATTAAAAAAGATTAATTATGGAAATGCATATTATCAGGGAAATGCATTTAGAATATACTGATAAGTGAATTTTATAAGCAAGTTGCAAAGCAATATATATATAACAGTTTATTTTTGGTTTAAAAAAAGAGGGGGGACTATCCTGTTTTACTTCTGTATGTTATATATATCTGTA